ATTTTAAATTTAACTCTTCTAGCGTGGCCTTTTTTTGCGGACCAGCAACTTTCCACTTGTAGGGTCGCTGAAGTCGACACCTACAACTGACATACCACATAACTGCACAATTAACTTCCGAACTCCGAGGGCCAGTATTTCACAGGGTTAGCTATACTGACATACCACATAGCTGCACAATTAATTTCCGAACTTCGAGGGCCAGTATTTCACAGGGTTAGCTACACTCTCCTTGCGTTCTTGCTACGGCACGAGAAGTGCAAAAACGCATAATCGCACCGGCCCGCCTGGTGCGTTCCAGCCTGGGTCTGCGGTACGAAAAGTGCAAAAACGCATAATCGCACCGGCCCGCCTGGTGCGTTCCAGCCTGGGTTTCTTCTGGAACGAATCTGTGGCCCACAGGTTCCTTCAAAATGAGTGCGACAGAGTATTTGAATTAATGCTGTAATCAAACAGTAATGCAGTTCAGCTCGCTGATTGTCTGGGCGGGGTGAATGTCACTTTTTTCGCATCAGTGATATGTTCAGTGTTCTTTTTAGGCGCGGGTATCCTGAGGTTGTATTGTATGTATGTGATTGTTATTGCAGTGAATGGCATCACTGAATGTTTTGCCATGGCAACAATGAATCAACAACAGGTTTAAATTGCTGTGCTTTTTTCATGTTATGATTGGATAAGACTGTCCTCTTGAGATCCATTCTTATGATCAGTCAAACGCCGCAACTTAACCTCATATCATGTAAGTCTGGCTGAAAAAGTGTCACGTAATGCATTCTCAGCCCATTCGGAGCTAGAAAAGTTTGCTGTAGCATCATCGTCATTTTTCATGGGGTTGATATATACTGAAAAAAAAAAATGTAGCAGGCAGCGTTTTCTGTAGAAGCAGGGCTACTTTAGAAGCAAATTTGATTAAAATGGAAAGAATAGCATGAGCACTATTGAGTTAATAATACGGGCGATGCGGAATACTTGGTGAGGTGTCTTTTTGTAACATATTTTTCAAAATTGGCGTTTTAAGGTATTTTATCATGGCTGGTTCCTCTTTTGTATCTGTCCAGTTCACATCCTGTTATGCTCGGCGCTTTCATATTTTATTGGTGTGTATGGCTTGATATTTGCCAATATAATCAACATGCTGACTAGGATCACATACAGGTTATAATTAATTTCGGCTGCTTTACGAAGGCAAATTTATGTTACAAATTTCCTTTTAAAGTCAGATGAATTAGTAATGCGTGCAGGCTGGGGATTCTGCAGGCTTGCTGAAGTTGCCAATGTGTGGAGTGAGAATACGCAAATGCTACTAAAGAATGATGTAGGATTTGGCAGAAAAAATGCATAAGTTATTTGAAAAGGCTTCAAATTACATTTAAAAACGAGGAAAATAAAAGCATTGATTTAGAATTAATTGTTGGAAAGTGTCCTGTTAAAACAGTGGGGCAAAAATGAGAGTCGCTTTGTTATTCAGGAAGTTTGCTCATTCGGCCAGGCGACAGTCCTCCTCGGTTGAAGGGAGCGGAAAATGTATTTGATGCGTCTTCCTAATTTCTCGAAGTTTTAGTAACTTCATGAGATGATGAATATATAATGGAAATTTAATAAATGACATTTTATTTTTAGTTGGCGGCATATCCAACGATTTTTATCGGGCAAAATTAGTTTCGCAGAAGCATTACCGAACTCTTCGACTGTTGTCGTCCTTCTGTTTTGCCTTGCAGTAACATCACTCTCACTTCTGGTTTGTTTGCCAGTGTTACTTCCATTTTCACTAACTTCATTTTGGTAGCAAAATTGAGTTAGTCTGGGGGATTAGGCCTGCGATGTCGCCGATCCTTGTTTTTGAACGCATAGTTTTATGAATGAAGTTATTTGCGATTTAATTGCGTATGGAAAGG